AGCTGCTGCTCTCGGACTGCGCCCCGGACCGCCTGCGCCGCTTCCTGCGCATGCTGAGCCTCAAACTGGCGGCGGCCCCGGGTCCCGGGCCGTCCTCCGCCCGCACGCAGCTGCTTGGCCCGCGGCCCCGCGACTTCTTCACCATCAGCCCGGTGCAGCCCGAAGAGAGGAGGCGCGCAGCGGCCACCAGGATCCCCGACACGACGCCGGTGAAGCAGCCCACGGAGTCCCGAGTGGGGGCCGAGCCCAACACCGTGAGAACAGGAAAGGGGAGCGGGGGTGCCTTGGGGACTGGGTGTGCCACTGAGTTGGAAGAGACCAAGGAGACCCAAGTTTGGGGGAAAGATGGTGCTGGTATTTGAGGGGGTTGCTGGTTATCTCAGAGGAAATGCCCATCGGACATCTGAGTATAACAGATGCGGGAGTTGTGCGTGTGTTTCTCACAGTGCAATCCCTGAGACTGGGTAAGCAAGAACAAGAAAAGGTGCCCCAGGTCACATTAAAAGAGAAAGGAGAGACGGAGGCCTGGAAAGGAGATTTCAAAAGAAAAAGTAACAATGTAGTCGCCCTGGAGAAAAAGAGGAGCTTTTGGAGAAAACGAAGTAGTCAGCAGCAGCAGGGACAGCCAACAGGTCCGATCAGGTGGGGGTAGGGACAAAGTCTGGTGGTTTTGACAGTTTTTAAACTCAGGCAGATGGATCTCAGACCACAGGGATGTGAGACCAGGAGGGTGAGGAGATGGAGATGGGGCGAGGAGGTGCCCTGGCTAGGCAGGATTTTGCCTGGGGGTTTTGAGGTGAGAAACAGGTTTGTGGCAGGAAGAGAAGTGAGAAGGAATGATGGGTGAGAGCACCAGGAGAGTTAGGGAACCCAGGAGAAGAAGCTGAGGACCCAGATCCACACAATGGGGTCTTCAGGGCACCAGGAGTCAGTGAAGACCCAGCCTTGGGCCCTTCCTCAAGGAGAGACCTGTACCCCAGTAGTTACTGGCAACATCTCTGGGTGAAACAAGGCTGCCCAAAGGCTCCAAGGGATGAAGCCAGCAGAGATACAAGGGCTACCAGGCCTAGCATTTCACCTGGGCCAAGAAGGGTGTGGTGGCAATGCCTAGAGTATGGAGGGAGGCTCTGAGACAACACTGTTCCCTCAGGAAGCCCCAAGGTGGCCCCTGCCTGTGAAGAGGCTGAGCTTGCCCCCCAGCAAACCACAGCTTTCTGAGGAACAGGCTGAGGTGCTGAGGGTTGTCCTGAAAGGCCAGAGCATTTTCTTCACTGGGAGTGCAGGTAATGGGGGGCAGAGTCAGGGGAAGAAGGTGGTAGGGTGGGATGGAAGAGACGTGGTCTTAACTTTGCCCTCTGCCCAGGGACTGGGAAGTCTTATCTGCTGAAGCGGATCCTGGGCTCACTGCCTCCCACAGGCACGGTGGCCACTGCTAGCACTGGGGTGGCAGCCTGCCACATTGGGGGTACCACCCTCCATGCCTTTGCAGGTAAATGAGAGCCTCTGGGGCTAGAGCTGGGAGCAAGCCAGGCCTGTGGGAAGGGAGGAAGGGGAAGTCAGGGTTGAGACAGGGCTGGGGTCTCAGTCCAGGCTGAATAATATCACTCACAGGCATTGGCTCCGGTCAGGCTCCCCTGGCCCAATGTGTGGCCCTGGCCCAGCGGCCAGGTGTGCGGCAGGGCTGGCTGAACTGCCAGCGGCTGATCATTGATGAGATCTCCATGGTGGAGGCGGACTTATTTGACAAGCTAGAGGCTGTGGCCAGGTCAGTATATGCAGTGAGGTCTGGGTTCTGGTGGTTTTCCGTGAGGAACCTGGCCACCCTCACTGCTAAAGCACTGCTCACTCCTCTCCAGAGCTGTCCGGCAGCAGAATAAGCCATTCGGAGGGATCCAGCTCATCATCTGTGGGGACTTCCTGCAGCTGCCACCTGTAACCAAGGGCCTCCAGCCCCCACAGTTCTGCTTTCAGGTACCACTCATCCTCCTGTCTTGTCCCCCCCACCCCACCCAGGGGTCTGCTCTGCTCTCTGACACCCCCACCTTCCCCCACCAGGCCAAGAGCTGGAGAAGGTGTGTCCCAGTGACCCTGGAGCTGACCAAGGTGTGGAGGCAGGCAGACCAGACCTTCATCTCTCTGCTGCAGGCTGTGAGACTGGGCAGGTGGGCTCTATGAAAAGAGAAGGAACCACGGATAAAGATCCAAGTGTGGGCCACAGAGGAGCACAGGGACCCAGAGAAGGGGAAGAAATGCTTTCTGGGCCCATAGGAGATGGTCACTTTGTGAATGCTGAGATCCTGCCTCCCCCAGGGTTGGGTCCCCATCACCCAGCACAAGGCCTGGCACAGAGTAGGTGTCAGGGAACTATGATCAGATGGACACACAAGAGGAATTCAGAGATGTCAACACTCCCATTTCACAGATAGAGAAACTGGAGCTCAAAGAGATGAAATGACTTGGCCCAAAGTCATGGCTGGGATTTAAACCTAGGTCTGACTAAAACCTAAGTTCCTTCTACTCTTAAAGCCTATGGAGTCACTTGGTAGGGGAGGGAGGTTGCAGATATGATCCTGCCCACCCAGGACAAAAGGTTGAAATGCTACAACTACTCTAACATGGGAGTGGACAGGCCAGGAGGGCAGGTGACATGGGCCAGAGCTGGGCCTTGAAAGCCAGGTCAGATTGGGATGGACTTAGGGGAGCATGGTGGAGGAGGGTGGTGGTGGTGAGCCAATCTATGTGCCTGGGGCCAGGGGGCAGGTAGGAAGGTGCACAGCATGCACCAGCATGCATGGGGCACAAGAGGAATGCTCAGTGGCAGAGCAGGGAGAGATGGACCCAAGCTGTCCCCCCTCCGCCCATGGTAGTTGCTGCTGCACTCAGGCCTCCCCAGGTGGAAGGAGGCTGGAGATGGGGAGAAACAGAAGCAGGCCAGAGGCTAGAAGATTATCCTCTAGATTATAGGCTACCAGTATTACAGATATCACCATCAGTGCCTGGTCTAGGTCCTCTATACCTCTGGACTGCGCTCACTCGGCATATCAAACTTCCTGGGGAGTACTGGGGATGGGAGGGTAGCTAGCTCCTTCCTGGAGGCAGGCAAAGGAAAGGGTACCCACCCATGATCACAGCCAAGCACCCACCCCTCCACTCCACACATACACACACACACACACACACAAAACACATACACCATGCTCAGTCCCCATGTACAGGGTCCAAGTGGAGAAAGGACAAGTTGGCCAGCCTGGGGCCAGCAAATCTTGCTCTGGTGCCCCTTTCCAGTCCCCAGGCCTAATCCATGGCCTGCTGCTTGGGCCATACCACCCATGTGCCCCACCTTCCCTGGTGTTCAGATGAGCTCTGCCCTCATAGCCCAGCCCCCACAGGTGCTCAGATGAGGTGACCCGCCAGCTCCAGGCTACGGCCACCCACAAGGTGGGTCGAGATGGGATTGTGGCCACGAGGCTCTGCACCCACCAGGATGATGTGGCCCTTACCAACGAGAGGCGGCTGCGGGACCTGCCAGGTGAGTAGGGAGCCAAGGTTAGGAAATATCAGCTGGGAGGGGCTATCAGGCAGGTATGCCCCCCACCCTGGGCCCTTGGGATAAATATCTAGGCCCCAACCTCTGTGGCCATAAGGCCCTTACATTTGCAGAGGTAACTTGATTTTGAGAGGATTTAAGTGAGTCTTAAATCCAGGTCTCTAATTCTAAAGCCCCAGATAGGCCTGAGCTATCTATCCCCGGTACTCCCTACTATCTCCCCCCATGCCCTGGTCTGAGATGTGTTTTTAGAAACTGAGCCATAAGTAACCAGTAATCTGTTTGCTCCCCTCTTTCCCCAGGTGAGGTACACAGCTTTGAGGCCATGGACAGTGACCCTGAGCAAGCCCGGACTCTGGATGCCCAGTGTCCTGTTAGCAAGCTCCTTCAGCTAAAGCTGGGGGCCCAGGTAAGTGGGAAGCAGGGCCTAGATCCTGGAAGCTTGGACCTCTGCAACCTTTGCCCCTCTGCCCAAGCTGCTCCACAGCCAAAGGGACCACAGAGAACTCCCTTCCTCCTATTCCCACCCACCTTCCTGTCTTCAGCTTTCCACTGCCTGCCAGCTCCAAGCAGTGTTGCTTTGGATAAGTCCCTTGCCCTTTCTGCTGCTTGGTTTCCTCATCTCTAAATCAGAGAGTGAAATATCTACCCCACACACTTGCCTTCATAGTGTACCCTGTACTGTGAAAGTCTTCCTTCCACTATGTTGGCAGTGGGCCAAATGGGAGCCTTTTCTCAGGTTCCAAAGGGCACCCAAGGGGAAAAATGCAGGCACCGTGTGGTTAGAAGAGGGATGGCAGGACCTGGGGCTGTCCCTCAAGATTGTGGCCCTTGCCCTAGCCGGTTTGGCTCAGTGCTTAGAGCATCAGCCCACAAACTAAAGGGTCCTGGGTTCGATTCTGGCCAAGGGCATGTACCTCAGTTGCAGGCTTGGTCCATTGGGGGCACGTGCAGGAGGCAACCAATTGATGTGTCTTTCTCACATCAATGTTTCTCTGTCTTCCTCTCTCTCCCCCTTCCACTCTCTCTGAAAAGCAATGGAAAAAATATCCTCGGGTGAGAATTAAAAAATAAAAGAAAAAAGATTGTGGCCCTTACACACACCTCACAATACATGAGGAAGTTTTCAAAGCCCTGTGACATCTGTTAACTTACTGCTCTTTATCTACATCTCTCCTCCTGAGCAATATCATTCCCCTTGACACAAGGGAAACTGAGACCTGGGAAAATAAAGCGTCTCACTGCAGGGGACACAGCCAGTGGCTAAGCTAAGGGTTAGGACTCAGTGCCCCTCCATGACAGGCCCCAGCCTCCTAGAACCACAGCAGGGACTGCTGGGCCTGAGCCAGGCATAGAAAGGGGCAGCTCTCCAAATCAACAGCTGTCTTTCCCTTGCAGGTGATGCTGGTGAAGAACCTAGCGGTGTCCCGGGGCCTGGTGAACGGCGCCCGAGGGGTGGTAGTTGGGTTCGAAACTGAGGGGAGAGGTAAGTGATGGGGGTGCAGACCTACTGCTTGGGGCAATAGGGCCCCAGGGTAAGTGTGAGGAGGAGGAATCTAGGATGGAAAGGTGAGGTCTGCTTCTCACCTCTGAGCCTTGAAACAGGGCTGAAAAATTGGACTTCTCCGTGCCTCCCTCAGGGCTGCCCCAGGTACGGTTCCTGTGTGGAGTCACTGATGTCATCCGTGCTGACCGCTGGACGGTGCAGACCACTGGGGGCCAGCTCCTCAGCCGGCAGCAGCTGCCCCTCCAGCTGGCCTGGGCCATATCCATCCACAAGAGCCAGGTGAGCAGCCAGTGTGGGGGATGGGGACAGGACAGGGCAGGGGGGTACAAAATAGGCCTGGGGACTGTTGAGAGGGGCCTTACAGGCTTTACAGGGGCTGAGCTTGCCCTGGATGCCGAGTTCCAGGCCAGTTGTGGAATAAACTTTTCCTCAGTGCATTTCCCCTCCCACGCTCTCCCTTTCCCAATACATATACTTCCCCTCTGTCATCTCCTGCCATTTTCTGAGCCACTACCAGATATGTTAAATTTAATACTTAAACACCTGTATGAGGTATAGATGTAATAATCATTCCTGTTTTACAGAGGAGGAAACTGAGGCTCAGAGAAGTTAAGTAACTTGTCCGAGGCCACACAATCAGTGAGAGGCAGAGCCGGGATTCCTTTCCATGCCTGTCTGACCCTGGCCTGAGTTCTTTCCTTTCACCTCTCCCTCTCTCTTATCCTGGATGTGTCTCTTGGAGTTCCTCCTACTCAGATCCCATCCAGGGTCAGCCTGTCCCTCTGCCTTGAGAATCTCTGGACTGGGCGAGGAGATCCAGGGGCAATAGCTGGGCTGGTGAGGTGGGGTCAGGCTCTTGAGCACTAAGGACTTCAAGCAGAGCTGGCTCCATCTCTGTCTCCATCCCCAGGGGATGTCCCTGGATTGTGTGGAGATCTCTCTGGGCCGTGTATTTGCCAGCGGCCAGGCCTACGTGGCTCTTTCCCGGGCCCGAAGCCTGCAGGGCCTTCGTGTGCTGGACTTTGATCCCATGGTGGTTCGCTGTGACCCCCGTGTGCTGCGCTTCTATGCCACCCTGCGGCGGAGCAGTGGCCTTGGCCTGGTAAGAGGGAGTCACTGAGTGGTGGGCCAAGGGACCCTGGGTAGGGGTGGCAGAGCCTTCTCTGGCTCCATTGTGGACAGGGGCAAGAGGAAGGAGATGCGGGCCCCCAGGCTGCGGCCCTGGGAGACAGCAGAAGCCCATGACTCAGGTTCTCTGGCTTCAATCTAGGAGTCCCCCAGTGATGACGAGACAGCCTCAGACCAGGAGAATGTGGACCCAAACCTTTGAGCTGCAAAGAGACGACAAAGGATGGTCTCCCTCCACCTGCTCCTGAGTGGGACAGGACCCTAGGAGACAGCAAGGGAAAGATGGTCAGGGCCTCTCAGCCTCTGGCAGGGGTCCAGGGATAATAATTCCCACCCATTTGCCAGCTGTACCCCAGTTTCTGCCCTTGCCCTGTGTGAGCTGCTTCCAGGGCCAGGAGTAACACTTTCTGTGCCAGATGGGAATGGGCTTGTGGTGGTACCTGGTGTGAGAGGACAGAGCTCTCTGTGAGGGCTGGCCCCAGGACCACAGTCATGAATGCCGCCCCCTTTGGGCTACAGAGGGGACAGGTGTTCCAGGAGCAGGAATCGCCATGTGGGTCCTGTGAGACTCAGGCCAAGTACAGGCCCCAAGTAGAGAAGGGGACCTGAGGTAATTTCACGCCTAGGCCCAGCCTAGCACAGCCAGGACCAACACCCTCCTGAGCCTGACGCACTGCAAACTGTGCNTTGGGCTACAGAGGGGACAGGTGTTCCAGGAGCAGGAATCGCCATGTGGGTCCTGTGAGACTCAGGCCAAGTACAGGCCCCAAGTAGAGAAGGGGACCTGAGGTAATTTCACGCCTAGGCCCAGCCTAGCACAGCCAGGACCAACACCCTCCTGAGCCTGACTCGAGAAGACGCACTGCAAACTGTGTGCCTGTATCTTAAGCTGCTTTTTAGGGAAAGAAATAATGTTTGGGGATTGAAATGGATGTTCTCAGATTATATTTATCTAGGACAAATAAACTTGTGAATTGTGTAAGGACTGTGAGTTGAGTCTCCTGCTCTCTTTAAGAAGGCACCCCTCACCCCTACTTGGGGCACTGGCTATTCCCGGTCCAGGGAGGCTGTCCTGTGCCCCTGCTCCCAGCCCTGCATGTGCACACAGGTGTTTACTCCATGATGGCTGAACTCACAGACCGGTATGTGGGGCTTGTTGGTATCACTGGTTATTTGGAAAGCTGTTACATGAGGTTGATGACTCACAATGAAATGAAAGGCAAATCACCATCACCCATTGTCGGATAAGAACAAACTAGAGAATTCAGACGGTGAGAAGTGGCCTGTGGCAACATCTGAAGAATGCTGGGGGCCTCGTTGAAACTTTCTCACTTTGGGCCTTGCTGGGCCTCTAGCTTGGACATCATTCTGACCGGGAAGGGATCACCAACAAACTAGCTTCAGTTGATCAAAAAGCCTGATGGACATTGATCAGGGGCCCTCAGTGGCTGGTTAAAACTGTTAAGGTTCCCTACTTACAGGTGAAAGGAGTCAATTCTGGCTGGTAAATATAGTTATGGTGGAAGCATGCATTGGCAGCTACAGAAAGGAATGGCCAATAAATATAAAATTACCAATGATGGGAGGGCTGGAGAACAGTGAAACCATNTCAAAAAGCCTGATGGACATTGATCAGGGGCCCTCAGTGGCTGGTTAAAACTGTTAAGGTTCCCTACTTACAGGTGGAGAACAGTGAAACCACNGCCAATAAATATAAAATTACCAATGATGGGAGGGCTGGAGAACAGTGAAACCATGCTGGTGTCTGGGGGACATAAAGTATGGATGCTTGAAGGCATTTATCCTTGTCTTCCAAAAGCCAGCAGAGGCCCCAGTGTGCAGAGTAGATGCTCCAGGGTGTCTGGTTAAATGGTGGAGGCCATTGACATGGGGCCTCAGACCTTCACTGTGGGCTCTGTGGAGGAGGCAGGGCTACAGCCTGTGAATAATTGGATAGATGATTAAAGCTCAGGGGAGAGACCTGGCTTTCCATCCTGATTTTGCCACTTGCCTGCTGTGTTACTTTAGACATGTTACACAACCTCTCTGAGAGGGTTTCCTCACCTATAAAGTACAGGTAGTAACTTTCTTTCACATAGGGTTGTTGGGAGAAAGGCCAGCCACATGGCAGGAGCTCAATCAGTAGCTGCTTTAACATTTATGATTACTAATGATTATCACCACGATGTCTGGTTCCTAGACTGGCTCCTTTGGCAGACAAATCTGGAGGCTCNAATTGGATAGATGATTAAAGCTCAGGGGAGAGACCTGGCTTTCCATCCTGATTTTGCCACTTGCCTGCTGTGTTACTTTAGACATGTTACACAACCTCTCTGAGAGGGTTTCCTCACCTATAAAGTACAGGTAGTAACTTTCTTTCACATAGGGTTGTTGGGAGAAAGGCCAGCCACATGGCAGGAGCTCAATCAGTAGCTGCTTTAACATTTATGATTACTAATGTTTATCACCATGATGTCTGGTTCCTACACTGGCTCCTTTGGCAGACAAATCTGGAGGCTCGGAGGGGTGCCAGTGTGGTCCCTGGACAACCTCTGTCTTGCTACCACCCTTCCTGACCTTGGGGAGTTAATTGTTTTTCTATAGCATGAACTCTTTTCTCTGCCGCAAATAGAAGATACTCTTAGGAGAAGCCTGCCCACAGCNGGGAGAAAGGCCAGCCACATGGCAGGAGCTCAATCAGTAGCTGCTTTAACATTTATGATTACTAATGTTTATCACCATGATGTCTGGTTCCTACACTGGCTCCTTTGGCAGACAAATCTGGAGGCTCGGAGGGGTGCCAGTGTGGCTCCTGGACAACCTCTGACTGTCTTGCTACCACCCTTCCTGACCTTGGGGAGTAAATTGTTTTTCTATAGCATGAACTCTTTTCTCTGCCCCAAATAGAAGACACTCTCAGGAGAAGCCATGCCCACAGTGTGACCCCCTCAACGAGTGGGCAACCATGGGGGCCTTTAAACATGGTGCCTCGCCTGGCCGGGCGTGGCTCAGCGGTTAAGCGTTGACCTAGGATCCATGCGATCGGGGTTCGATTCCCGGCGAGGGTACATGCCCGGGTTGCGGGCTGCAGCCGATCAATGACTCTCTCATCACTGATGTTTCTAGCTCTCTCTCACCCTCTCCTTTCCTCTCTCTGAAATCAATAAAGATATATTTTTTAAAAAAAAACACATGGTGCCTCAAGGANGACCCCCTCAACGAGTGGGCAACCATGGGGGCCTTTAAACATGGTGCCTCAAGGNTCAGCGGTTAAGCGTTGACCTAGGATCCATGCGATCGGGGTTCGATTCCCGGCGAGGGTACATGCCCGGGTTGCGGGCTGCAGCCGATCAATGACTCTCTCATCACTGATGTTTCTAGCTCTCTCTCACCCTCTCCTTTCCTCTCTCTGAAATCAATAAAGATATATTTTTTAAAAAAAAACACATGGTGCCTCAAGGACCAGGATGTTTCCTGTCTGCACACATGACAGCCCTCCTCCCAGGTCCAGCTATTAACAGGTCACACAGTGACCCTGCCCTCAGAAAGCTTACACTCTGGTCACACCTTGTGTTTTTTACTCCCCCCACTTAACACACAGCTTGGGGACCATCCGGTTCAGCACAGATGGCATTGTCTTGTGTTTTCTAGCAGCTCTGTACCCTTTGGGGTTCTTGGATGGAAACAGGAGAAACTGACTCAGGATAACTTCAGCAGGAATGGAACAGAAGGCTAGCTCAAAGAAGTGATACGAAGCCCAGAAACCCAGGGTTGGAAACAAGTGGGAACCAGGGAGGCTAGAACCACTGGCAGGAGTGGAGCTAGGAGCAGCTGGCCAGGAGGACCTCTGGCCACCCCTGGACACAAAGCACAGCCACCAGGGGAAGGAGGGCTGCACTCTTCTGCCTCCTCGCCACTCAGTCCAGACCTAAAGGTAGGTGTGTGGCTGGTTGGGCTTGGTCCCCACGCAGGTCCTATGGCCACTGGCTGAAGGCTGAACGTGCAAAAGGTCCCAGGGCTTCTGCTGGGAGATGGATCTTACATCATCCCCCAGAGCTGGGCTGTCGAGGATGTCAAAGGGTCCTTTCCTGGGATTCTCCTCTCTGACCCCACCCTCAACACAGACTGCCAAGGCACCCCTCGCCCTCCCAGCCCTTTCCCCTCACCCAGGCACTGCTTTCAGCTTTCCCTAGTCTCATATGCGCTTGCCCTGCTTCATGATGTCTTCCTCAGGAGACTGCCTGGGCATCAGAAAGTCCTGTCCTCAGCAGTCCCTGCTCATTGTGAAGATGTCCTCCTCAGTGCCAGTTGTGATCTGCCTTGAGGGCAATTACCAATTTACAAGTCTGTTTTTCCCTGTAATAAGCAGGTTCCTTGGTAGCAAGAAACTTGTCTTAGCTGTCCTTGTGTCCCCACAGCACTCAGCATGATGACTTTAGAAAGGAGACATTTCCTAAAATGCTTGATAAATGAAAGGACACACCATAGTTCCAGGTGCCCTGAGAGGCAGCAATGTTTACTCCAGTTTTGCAGGGGAGGTGGCTGAGTCCTGGGAGCGAGGCCGTGAGAGCTGGAATGAGAACCCTGTGGCCTCCCCTGGTCTTCCGGGAGCTGTTCAAAGGGGGTGAGATAAGGGAGTGAGATACTGGTGGGGCGCCCACCTTCACCCTACCCTCAGGGGGGTGGCCAGGGGAGGGCTTAGCTAGGCATGACCTCATCCTTTCTGAGGTCCTGGCATATTATGCCCACCCCACAGGACCAATGATTATGCTCAAACTCCCATCTCAGAGCAGCCTGGCCCTCTCGCTCCCCAAGCACCACACACCATGGACCACTAGGTGGTGCCAGGTGGTCAGTCAGTCTCTTCCCAGAGCCGGGGCAGGTCCTTTGTCTGGGTGCCTGGTTGGGGCACATGGACAGACACCTCAGGAGCTGGGAGCCCAGTAAGAGTAGGGAGGGGGAGGTCCCTTTGTTGAGCAGCTTGCACTTGATACCTGTTGAGTACCTCACGGTTTGTGTTCATTAGCCCCCTTGTTTTTCACAATAACCCTGAGAAGACAGTGGCACATTGTCCCCACCTTATGGGGAGAGAAAACTAATCTCTTGAGAGGTTAGGTGACTTGGCCAAGGCTACCCTACTAGCTGGGTCTGGAACCAAGTCCCAGGGTCCTGGGGCTTTTGCAAAGTTAGCAGAGGGCCCTGAAGTCAGATAACTGGCTTCCCACTTCCCGTGTGACCTTGGACGTGCTGCCTAAATCCTCAGGCCTAGTTTCATTATTAGTGAAATGGGGCTAACAGCCAATCAATGGAGTTAGGATAAGAGTGGGGTGGGGCCAGGCACCAGGTAAACCTCCTGGTTAGCTCCCATTGGCCCTCATTACTCTTACCTAAAGTGGCCAACCTGCACCCCCCCTCCTCACCCCTACCCTTTCCGTGCCTCCCGAGTGGTCTGGAGCATAACAAAGAGAATTAACTGGAGCCCAGATTAAGTAATTTGTTTCTTTCCTTATTCTAGAGAATGCAGGCTGTGCCCACCCACTAAGAGGAAGGGGAGAGTCTCCCAACAAACATGAGGTCTTAGCCCTGGTCTGTGAGTGCATTTGTCATAACTCCCCCTCTTTTTCCCTCTGTCCCTCTTCTTATTTTTTTTAATCCACACCTGAGGATATTTTTTTTTTTCCATCATTTTTTCAGAGAGAGTAGAAGGGAAGGAGGGAGGGAGAGGGAGAAACATCTATGTGAGAGACATCTACTGGTTGCCTCCTGGACTGTGCCCTGACCTATGGCAGGGAGCAAACCCACAACTAAGGTATGTGCCCTTGACTAGGAATTGAACTTGCAACCTTTTGGTGCGTAGGCCAACATTCTAACCACTGAGCCAAACTGGCCAGGGCTCCCTCTGTCCCTCTTCTTATCAGAGCATGTATGAGGGGGTTTTTAGACCTAGTTTACAGAGGAGGAGACAGGCGCTGACAGGTGGGCGGCTCAAGC